GATCCTTCCGCCTCAGCCTTTCGAGTAGCTGGAATTACAGGCATGCGCTACCATGCCCAGATGATTTTTTTTTTTTTTATTGTAGAGATGACGTCTCGTCAAGTTGCCCAGGTGGGTCTCGAACCAGCGGGCTCAGGCAATCCACTCACCTCAGCCTCCCAAAGCGCGGGATTACAGGCTGAGCCACCGAGCCCGGCTGAGTGCAATTTCTTAATCCTGGCCACGTAATCCACAGGGGACCACAGAGGGTCCACGAGTCCTCTGACATTGCAGGCACAACTGTGTGCATCAGCGAATGTGCACTTTTCTTCTAGGGAGATGGGTCCATGGCTTAAACCAAAGTATCACAGGGGCAGGGTATCTGAAGGTTAATAACGGAATAAATAAATTTGTGAAGGAATGAAAGGCCTGGAACGATGCTGTTGGAGTATCCGCCAAGAAATCCAAAGCACCCTTATCTCTCCAAGTCAAAACTTTGTAGGGCACAGTGACCAGCTGTAGATGAGTTTAAGTAAGGTTTGATCCTTGCAGGGAGTCTGACGACCTGGATGCTAGTTCCAGCTGACATTAGGCAAAGCTATTTCACCTGAGTTCCGCGTTTCTCAGCTACAAACCAGGGGCTGAAACACTCCAGCTGTGCGCACCCCTGCGATCCTAGGGGACCGGGTGCCAGAAGCCAGTCCTGTCGCCCGGCCTGGAGCGGGACGCGTTACTCTCCGTGGCCTTATGAGTCATCGACTTCCCCCCGGCTGCCTGTCAAGAAGCGGCTTCCTCCCAGGAGCTGCCCACCTCGCCCCTGACAGAATCTCACGTCCCGATCTCGGCCTGCTGTCCCCCAGGCTCCCTACTCACCTGGCCGGAGCCGCTCACCTGGCCAGAGCCGCCGCAGCGCCACCAAGGCCAGCTCAGCCCTCAGCCGATTGGTCAGCAGCCCAGCACGTCACGCCACGCCGCCGTCCACTGGCCAATCAAAAAGCGCTTATCCGGCGAACGAGCGGAAGTGAGACACTCAGAGTTGCTGCGTCGCCATCTTGGAAAGGGCAAGGCAGTCCTGCCTCGCGCTTCAAAACAACAATTCTTCAGAACACACAGTTGCCCCAGTTCACCCCGAAGCGTTTCTGCTTCAGATAACCCCGCCGCCTGCCAGGCCGTTCCCTAGGCTCATCCAACGCGCCTCAGGGGTTCACCCTGATCCAATAGGACGTCCGCTCGTCTCAGAGGGCAGTCCCTCTCATCACCTTAGTTACCGGGAAGCGAGAACTATGACGTAGGTCGCCCGGAAACAGGCGCGGCGCGGGCCGCAGGAAACTAAAGTTGACCGGAAGAAGGTGTCAGCATGAGGAAGGGGCGGGGCTGAGTGTATGGCGCGTGCGCGCTGTTTGTCTGATGGCCGTCCATGTGGCGAGTTGGGTTTCATTGTAAGGGCGAAAAGAGTAGTTATGCTTCTTCGCATGACAGTATCCTCCTCTCGCTTACTGAAATGCCTTCGTGCTCTCATAGGCTCTGTCTACGTGCCCATCCCTGCTATCCTTTTACAAGGACAGGGACTATGAGGGTCACACTCTCAGCGAGGCTTCCAGAATGTTAGGTTGGGCCTCTGGGGGTGCGAGGCTTCCAGAATGTTAGGTTGGGCCTCTGGGGGTGTGTGTCTGGTGTGCGATCAGGTGCTGCAAGAAAGATGCAAAGAATTGCTCAGAAGTTAGATTAGAAAATATAGTTTATTTTAAAAATAAATTAAGCTGGGCATGTTGGCGCGCACCTGTGGTTGCAACTGCTAGGGTAGCTGAGGCGGAAGGATCACCTGAGCCCAGCAGGTGGAGACTTCGGTGGCTGTGAGCGTGCCACTTTACTGCAGCCTGGGTAACAGAGTGAGAATCCTACTCAAAAAAAAAAAAAAAAAATTAGAAAGAGAAAGAGGATAATCACCTCTCCAAGGTAGGGGAAGGGCCCAAAGCCAGAAACAGAGCCCGGCTATAGCTCAAAGAGCACATGGCCACACCATAGCTTAGCAAGGTTGCAATGGCCTGGCAATGCCTTAGCAATGGCAGTGGCAGTGGTGACTGGTTGCTCGCGGTTGAGTTCTTTTAATCCTTCCCTTTGATGGGGGAAGGTCATTAAGGTGATTGGGTATGGTCTGCTTCATATCATCAGGAAGGTACAGGTAAGCGCAGGTACTGACTCAGGTGATGGACTGCAGGCAGATGGGTGGGTTAGTCACATGATTGTTGCCAGGGTGGTGGGCTAGATGGGAGGAGACAAATCAGAGGATTCCAATCCACAAGCTCCTTAGCAAAAAGGTGGTCTTATTATCATTTCTATGACTTCAGCCAGCTAAGGGACCTGAAAGTTTCTTAGAGATTATTATACTGAACCATGAATTGAAAGGTTGGGCTGTCCTCGTCTTGCATCTGTTGGAGATTTGCCAAAGGGGTGGGGTAGGCTGCCAGCTTGGCCTACAGTAAAATTTCTGAACGCTTTCTAAAACTTGCCTATTAGAAATTTATCTGTGCCTAACCTGTGCTGGATTCAAAGCATATGTCAGTCTAAGCAAAAATGGCTATGCTAAGGCAAAATGTGAACTAAGTTTTATTCTGTTTTCAGGGTCTTTCAGAGATGAATGATGACTGGAATAGTTGGGCATTTTAGGAGAAAAGCAAGACTCAGAACCACAAAAAACACAACTTTCTACAACCATAACTGTCTTTACTGCTCCTTACAAGTGGCAAAAAAGCACATTTATTAATCTGACTCAGGTATAGTCCCTCTGTAGTATATAAAGATAAGAAGCAAAACTATATAAACTTAAAATTATCCTAGAATGTATCTAGGCCTCCAAAAAGTATCAATTAGCTCCTTCCCAGTGTGCATGGAAGTCTTAACTGATTTGAACTCATCAATAGACAAAAAGGCCAAAGACTAACAAAGCAGATTCTCTGTCGTCTCTTATCCAAGAGAGAATAAACTATTAACTCACTTAAATAGATTGCCAAATGGTCAGAATATAAAACCAAGCTCCTAATTGTTGTTGCCACCAATGGGGAAAAAAACCCCTACCAGCCATAGGTGAATCAGAAACAAAAACAAGGATCAGTAGAGAGGAGAAAAGAAACCTAGAGATGCAGTCTGCAGTGTTGCAGTACTATTGCCACTCAGTGTTCACTCTGGAAACCTAGAAAAAAACATGCCTGTGCTTATCAGCTGCTTATCAGCCGTGTGTCCGCCAGTAATGTGGTTACCTGGTTCTGTCATTTTAATCCACTGGGATATCAGGGAAACTCCCAAAGTTGTTAAAGTGCTTTACAGGGTAAGATCATGCCTCATGCAAATATATAAGGAACATGTGCCAAAGGTTTTACTGGAGTCATTCATTAATGCTTAATTAATTCCTACAACCAGTAGGGATGTTCAAACTGGCTCTAAGAGCAATTTGACTGAGACTTTTATTTATTTATTTATTTTGAGTCCGAGTCTCACCCTGTCACCCAGGATGGAGTACAGTGGCATGCTCGTGGCCATCGCAGCCTCAACCTGCTGGGCTCAGGTGATCCTTCTGCCTCAGCCCTCCAAGTAGCTGGAACCACAAGCATGTACCACCATGCCCAGCTAATTTTTTATTTATTGTAGAGACGAGGTCTCGCCATGTTGCTCAAGCTGGTCTCGAACCCCTGGGCTGAAGCAATCCTCTCACCTCTGCCTCCCAAAGTGCTGGGATTACAGGCGTGAGCCACTGCACCTGAACAGAGACTTTTTTTTTTAAAGACAAGGTCTTGTTATATTGCCCAGGCTGGTCTCAAGCTCCTAGCATCAAGTAATTCTTCCACCTCAGCCTTCCAAAGTGCTGAGATTACTGATATAAGGCACTGTGCCCAGCCAATTTACATAGATTTATATTCTCTGCCACACAAAATTTACTTGTATTGCTACAGGCATGATACAAAATCCCACTGTGGTCTGTCCATATTGCCACAACTCTTCAAGAAAGGCAAGTGGGCCTTTCTATCAAGTGGGCCTGCACTATCTACATTCCTGAAAATTAACAAAAGAGTTTCCCTTCTTTCCCATATATTCTCTCTTAAGTCACTTCAAAGTATCCTTAACCCCCTACAGACTGTGCTCACTCAACTGAGAGAAATGAATCCCTTTTCACTCCCTTTTATCAGTGGTCATAGATTTGAAACTATATGACCCATATAACCATAAGCCTTGTAATTTATATAACTTTTTGTGTGTGATAACTATTAATCAGCAGTATGTTGTAGTGAATAATGGTTTATTTTGCAATAGGTTCTGTTAACTTCCTTACTCTATGGAAGGCTTATTCAACTCTTCAGTTTGGTGTTACTGATAATACTGTGAGATACCTTTTGGTAGCCAGTGCCAGGAAATGTGGACCATAAATGTTAACATTAACAAAATGGAGGGCCGGGCACGGTGGCTCACACCTGTAATCTTTGGGAGGCGAAGGTGAGAGGATTACCTGAGCCCATGGGTTCGAGACCAGCCTGGACAACTTGGCAATACATTGTCTGTATAATAAATCAGAAAAATTAGCTGGGCGTGGTGGTACATGCCTGTGGTTCCAGTTACTTGGAAGGCTGAGGCGGAAGGATCTCCTGAGCCCAGCAGCAGGTCAAGGCTGCGGTGGCCATGAGTGTGCCACTGCACTCCAGCCTGGGAGACAATGTAAGACTCCGACTCAAAAAACAAAAACACCACTGTAACTTAAGTTCTATGCAATTCTCTGTCAGTCACGTAGTCAATGTACCAGCAAACCTAAACTTATAAAAACGGACTGTGAGAACTAAGGGGCAAGCATACTATTTCCAGAAATACCAGGAGCCAGGCTCTGTCTCCCTGAATTCTGAATTCAGAAATAAACTACACAAGCCAAGGTATTAAAAACAAAAATAAACAACAACAAAAAAAATAAACTTTCTGTCAGTTCCCTGTCTCTCAACTTATTGGTTTTGAGAGATAGCAGTCAATCATTTATTTGAACCACAGCAGGCAGGAATTAATTTACATTGTTATAGGCAGAGAATATTTGCATTACTATTGGGTTTCTGTAAGTTAATTTCTATCAGTATCACTACAGAGTTGTAAAATAGCATAGTCAAAGTCAAGGGTACACACTCCTTACAATCAGATGACCCAGAGGATCTTTTAAAAATGTCCAATGTTCCGGCGGTTTCTTCTGCCCGTGCCAGTTTTGGCATGTCCTCCTTTCTTTTCTCCCTTCTCTCTCTAATTCTTTAATAAACTGTTTAAAAAAAATGTCTGGCATTCCATAGAAAGTTCATCCAGTGATCTCTTTTGACTGCTTCAAAATCTTTCATAGTCTGACATATTATCATCATCTGTAACCTGACTCTAAATTCCGTATTCCTGGGTCAAACTTCTCTAACAAACATCAGATTCATCTATTCAACCTACTGGCTTCCTGGAACTACAAGTCCCAGAATGCCGCGGTGTAGGCGCCCGGCGGATGCCCCTTGGCTCTGGGCTTTGCAGAACCGACTGCTTCATGGCTTCTCCTAGCAAGGCCGTGATTGTTCCCGGGAACGGAGGCGGGGATGTGGCCACCCATGGCTGGTATGGCTGGGTGAAAAGGGAGCTGGAGCAGGTAAGAGACCCAGACCTTGCTGCTTTGGGAAGCCAGCCTGGAGCAGGGGGAGGGTGGGAAGTGGCAGGACTGAAGTTCCAACATGCATCCACCCCGTTCCAGCAAAGCCCTGTGTGTTTTCATACCTCTTCCCTGCTGCGCTCTCTTAAGCTCTAGATCTAGTGATTGAACTTTTGGTTAGTAAAACTGCCTGGAAGACTTCTCTGAGGGCTCAGATGTTAGAGTAACAGGAAACCCTTCTTAGAACTACAGATACCGAGTTTTACCCCTCCCCGTGTCTGCTTCAGGTTCAGAATTGGGACTTCCCTGATAACTTTCACAGCTATCTCCATTGCTCTCGGCTTCAGATTTAAAAAATACTACTTATGTAATTTTTATATATAAAAGGATGTATGTAACGTGTGTAAATTATGAGGCATAAATCATCAAATTAAAATCTACGACATTCCCCATCTATGATCTTCAAAATGATGTGTATGTCCCCCTATCCCATTCCCCTGCCATTCATTTGTGTTTTTCATCTGCTTGTCTTTTTCTTTTTCTTTTTTTTTTGAGGCGGAGCTTCACTCTGTCACCCAGGCTGGAGTTCAGTGGTATGCTCATGGCCACTGCAACCTTGACCTGTTGGGCTCTGGTGATCCTTCTGCCTCAATCTTCCAAGTAGCTGGAACCACAGGCATGCACCACCATGCCTGGATAATTTTTATTATGTATTTATTGGAGAGATGAGGTCTCATCAAGTTGCCCAGGCTGGTCTCAAACTCTTGGACTCAGGCAGTCTGCTCGCCTCTGCCTCCCAAAGTTCTGTGATTATAAACTTGAGCCACTGCACCTAGCTTGCTTGTCTTTTTAAAATTAAAGTATGTTTACAACCTACATATGTATCCTTTAAATGATAAATTGCTTACTTTGTCTTCTTTGTGAGCTTTATGAAAATGGTATCCTACCAGTCCTTTAAAAAATAGTTGTCCTGTGCATCCTGAGTCCCCCCTCTACCCTTCTGTAACCAGGCAGTATGTCTGTTTCATGGGTCAGGTTACCATCCTTTTTTTTTTTTTTTTGGAAACAGAGTTTTACTCTGTTGCCCAGGCTGGAGTGCAGTGGCACCATCACAACTCACCACAGCCTGGAAATTTAAGTCTCAACGGATCCTCCTGCCTCAGCCTCCCAAGTAACTGGGACTGCAGACACACACTACCATGCCCTGCTAATTTTTCTATTTTTTGTAGAGACGGGGTCTCACTTTGTTGCCCGGGCTAGGCTCAAACTCCTCCCACCTGGGCCTCCCAAGTTACTGAGGTTACAGGTGTGAGCCACTGCGCCTGGCTGCCATCCTCTTGAGTAGGTCTCTAGAATAGAATTTCAGGGTTGTGGCAGCAAACCATGGTCAGCTACACACCATAGGGTCAGGACTGGAGCTTCGAAGAGGATGAGATCTCCAGCTTTTGCAGCATGTCTCTGCCAAGTTCCATACAGTCTAAGCACATTTGTTCCTGCCTTTCTATAGATACAGGCCAGTAGAGGTAAATTTAGATGTACAAATGAAGATATAGGGCTCTCTTTATAGAGACCAACAGAGCTGGCTAGATATATAACTACAGATGGTGTTTACGAGGAGGGACTGTGCTTTCCTATGTAATCCTGTAACACTTAGCCCACTTCAGTTCATAATATAAGCAGATACTTACTGAATTGATAAAGATCATATTAGCCGTCTCATTTCTTATTAGCAAAGTATTAGTTGTAATTAAGCTCTTTTATTTTGTGTCTTTTTTTCACCCCTCATATCATAGATACCTGGTTTCCAGTGTTTGGCTAAAAACATGCCCGACCCAAGTAAGTTTTAAACTTGTTTTTTAATAGCCTCATCTTGTTGAGTTTCTATCTTACAAACATTGTGGTAGAGAACAAAAATATCACAGTGGAGAAACCAAAGGTTAATATATATATATAAGAATGAATAAGGCAAGTACCTTGGGGAGGAGGTTATAAAGCACAACCCAGAAAATTCTAGTAAGGACCAAGAAAAGCACTTGGGCTTGGTTAAAAACTTAATTTTCAACTTGGGAGCCACTTAATTTCTCTTCTGTAAGTCTACAAATATTTTCAGATAAAATTTGTAGTTACATTTGAAGCAGAAATATGATAAAACTTTATAGCCACTGTTTGAGATCCTAATATTTTAAAATGTAATATTGCTGCCTTGTTTTGTCTATGACTTGCCTCAGGAATCTTTTCAGGAGGAAAGAATATGATACATGTAAATTTTGGAGAGAATGGTTGTCAAGAGTGATTTTTTTAAGTTTAAAAGTTTATATTAGAGTTTCAGAATTATATTTTATTATTTCTTCAGTTTTTTCTTTCAGTTCTGTTGTTGTTGTTTGGGTTTTTTGTTTTGTTTTGTTTTTGAGACAGAGTCTCACTCTATCATCCAGGCTGGAGTGCAGTGGTGCAATCATAGCTCACTCTAACCTTGAACTCCTGGGCTCAAGTGATCTCAGTGGCTAGGACTATAGGCCACTATACCCGGCTCATTTTAAACACTTTTTGTTTTTTTAGAGACAAGGGTCTTACTATGTTGTCCAGGTTGGTCTTGAACTCCTGGCCTTAAGTGATCCTCCCATCTTAGCTTCCCAAAGTACCTAATATCCATCAGTTTTTTTGAGTGCGAGTCTCACTTTGCCACCCAGGCTGGAGTGCAGTGGCATGATCACAGCCACCACAGCCTCAACATTCTGGTCTCAAGCAGTCATTCTGCCTCAGTCTTCCAAGTAGCTAGAACCACAGGCATGTGTCACCATGCCTGGCTAATTTTTTTTTAATTGTAGAGATGAGGTCTTACCAAGTTGCCCAGGCTGGTTTTGAACCCCTGGATTCAGGCAATCCTCTTGCCTCGGTCTCCCAATGTGCTGGGATGACAGGTGAAAGCCACTGCACCTAGCTTCCCTCAGTATTTTCTTACAAGAACATGGTAAAAAAAAGATAAAGTAAAGCTATTTACCAAAATTAGATATGAGTCATTCAAATAGCAACACACACACATCTTTGGCTCTGAAAACAACAGCCCATTTCTCACTGTAGTCCTGTAGTCTTAAAGCTGTTGGGTAGGGCCAGGCACAGTGGCTCAAACCTGTAATCCCAGCACTTTGGGAGGCAGAGGCGAGAGGATTGCCTGACCCCAGGGGTTCGAGACCAGCCTGGGCAACTTGGTGAGACTTCGTCTCTACAACAAATCAGAAAATGAGCCTGGCATGGTGGCATGTGCCTGTAGTTCCAGCTACTTGGAAGGCTGAGGTGGAAGGATCACCTGAGCCCAGCAGATCAAGGCTGCTGTGGCCTTGAGGATGCCACTGTACGCCAGCCAGTGAGACTCCCAACTCAAAAAAAAAATGAAAAATAAGAAAAATAAAACTGCTGGATAGTCATCTGAGAGGTGGGACAGCATTAGACTGCAACCGTACCCCTCAAGTGACAGATTTTTTCTTTACTCTGAACCCTAGTTACGGCTCGAGAGAGCATCTGGCTGCCCTTCATGGAGACAGAGCTGCACTGTGACGAGAAGACCGTCATCATCGGCCACAGCTCTGGGGCCATTGCGGCCATGAGGTGTGCACCTTGTGCAACTGCGGTCCCTTTACAGGTTCCAGTCATTCTTGCTAGGGAAATGCCTTGTGTATGTCTTAAGTTTTTCTTGGTGGATCAAACCTGTCGTGCCAGAAATTTGGGAGGCCAAGGAGATTGCCTGACTTCAGGGGTTCAAGACCAGGGTAGGCAACTTGGCAAGACGTCATCTCTATAATAAATAAAAAAATAAGCCAGGTGTGGTAGCATGTGCCTGCAGTCCGAGCTACTTGGAAGGCTGAGGCGGAAGATAGCCTGAGCCCAGCAGGATGAGGCTGCAGTGGCGGTGAGCGTGCCACTACACTCCAGCCTGGGGGACAGAGTGAGATTCTGACTCAATAAAAAAAGGAAGATGTCAGAGGAAATTTCTGACCTTGAAAGTAGAAACAGAATCTGCCCTAACTTCTTGGCTTTGCTAGTGGGTTGAAAAAAAAAATACTGCTCTTACTGGGATGCAGTGATCCCTTTTTAATTTATTTATTTGTTTTGAGTCAGAGTCTCACTCTGTTGCCCAGGCTGGAGTGCAGCAGCATACTCACAGCCATCACAGCCTTGATGTGCTGGGCTCAGGTGATCCTTCCACCTCAGCCTTCCAAGTAGCTGGAACCACAGGCACATGCCACCATGCCAGGCTCATTTTCTGATTTGTTGTAGAGACAAAGTCTCACCAAGTTGTCCAGGCTGGTCTCAAATCTCTGGACCAGGCAATCCTCTTGCCTCTACCTCCCTGGGCGTGAGCCACCGCACTCAGCCTGCAGTGATCCTTTTAAAGCTTTAGTTGCTCATAATCCCAGGGGCTTTCTGTCACTCAGCTCTGATGCCATTGCTACCATCTTCCCTCTCTCCTCCCAGCTAGGCTTACTGACCTCCTTGTAGTTCCTGGACCGTGCCAATTGTACAACTGCCGTAGCCAGCTCTCACCCCTCTACCTGGTGCACTCTGTCCCTAGACACCTGCATGGCTTTCTCTTCCCTTTGTCATCTCTGCTCAAATGTCCCCTTTTGGTGAGGCTTTCTCTTGTTACTTTGCATGAAAGGCAACCTCACCCTTCTGGCTCCTGTCCCCTTCGTATCTTACTATCTGCAGCACTTTTCACCACCTGACATCCTGTATGTTATTCTTGTCTTCTCCTGCCAGTAAGATGTAAGCTCCATGAGGGCAGGGCTCTGTTCCCTCTGGGACTGAAACCCCAGTGCCTACAAGAGAGCCCAGCATATGGTAGATGTCATTGAACATTTGTTGGGACTGTTACCCCTTACCCACCTATGCCCCCCAGGCCTTAGGATTCATGAGCACATCTCTGATGCTTCCATTAGAACATCAAGTTGCCCTCTTTAGCCTTCTAAGGCCCAGGGGTAGAGACTACGCTGGTTGAATAGCCCCTAAGGGTTGGGCTTCTTCCATATTTGCTAGGCTAAATGACAAAGGATAATACAGGGGGTGCCAAAAATTGATACACATTTTAAGAGATGTTATCAGCCGGGCTCGGTGGCTCAGCCTGTAATCCCACGCCTTTGGGAGGCTGAGGTGAGTGGATTGCCTGAGCCTGCGGGTTCGAGACCCTCCTGGGCAACTTGGTGAGACCTCATCTCTACAATAAATCAAAAATCAGCCGGGCGTCGTAGTGCGTGCCTGTAATTCCGGCTACTCGGAAGGCTGAGGCGGAAAGATCGCCGGAGCCCAGCAGGTTGAGGCTGCGGTGGCCGGGAGCAGCCACTGCACTCCAATCTGGGTGACGGAGTGAGACTCCAACTCAAAAAGAAAAAAAAAAGAGATGTTATCTATGTATTACTTTTCAAAGTTGAATTAAATTTCAGTAGCAATGTGTAGTATGACGTTCGTGCAATTGTGCTTCCGCCATTTTCTTTGACTGTCCTGCCTGTCACATGGTGATGCCAGCATTCGTTTGATTAATACCATCTTTTGAGTGAATGTCATACTTAAAATATACATTTTTTGGTACCCCCTATAATTTTTATTTGTCCTAAGCAGTCACTTCAGATGGCACATGAATTGCATGTCAAGGAATCTTGCCAAATTCTATAACCTTTCAGCCACACTGATTGATGCTACAAGAATAACACTTTTCAGTATGAACCTAAAAATTATGGTATAGTCATAGGGTAAGCAATGTTTATAAGCTGCCAGGGGTTGTTTGGAAAATGAAGAGGTCCCTTCATTACTGAAATTTGTCCCAACTCCAGTCCAAGTGAATTTTTCTCAAGCCATTGGCTAGCAAAGCTGTGCTTTCTTTTAAGGACCCTAAACATACTGCAGGATTATTAGCAACCTTCTCTTTTTCTTTTTTTGAGTCGGCGTCTCACTCTGTCCCCCAGGCTGGAGCGCAGTGGCATTCCAGTGACATTCCTTCTGGGCTCAGGCAATCCTTCCACCTCAGCCTTCCAGATAGCTGGAACCACAGGTGGGCACCATCATGCCCGGCTAGTTTTTTTATTTATTGTAGAGACAAGGTCTTGCCAAGTTGCCCAGGCTGATCTCGAACCCCAGGGCTCAGGTAATCCTCCCACCTCTGCCTCCCAAAGTGCTGAGATGATAGACGTGAGCCACTGTGCCTGACTTGACAGATTACTTCTTAATCATAAAAGGGAAACTGTGCCTTTACACTGGAGAGGTCAGGTAGATACCACCTTAAGCAAGTGATCAAACTTAATCTTACCGATAATAGGCCAGATTGGCATCATGTACTCTCTGATGTGATGGAGTGAGAAGGACACGTCATCTACATAGTATCCTAACCAAAAATGTTTAATGTGCAGGTCAGCTGGTCTATACTCTTAAACAATGTCAATACCACTTAAAATAAATTTTTTTTTTTTGGTTGAAGCCTCACTCTGTTGCCCAGGCTAGAGTGCAGTGACACGCTCACAGCCACTGCAGCCTCGACCTGCTGGGCTTAGGTGATCCTTCCACCTCAGCCTTCCAAGTAGCTGGAACTACAGGCATTCGCTACCATGCCTGGCTTATTTTTTGGTTTATTGTAGAAATGAGACCTCGCCAAGTTGCCCAGACTTGACTCTAACTCCCAGGCTCAGGCAATCCTCTTGCCTCAGCCTCCCAAAGTACTGGGATTACAGGCTGAGCCACTGTGCCTGGCCAAAGTAAAACATTTAAAAGTGCCTAAGTGTCATGAAAACCAAATGTGGGCCGGACTTGATGCCTCAGCCTGTAATCCCAGCACTTTGGGAGGCTGAGGCGAGAGGATTGCCTGAGCCTGGGAGTTCAAGACCAGCCCAGGCAACTTGGCGAGACCTCATCTCTACAATAAGTAAAAAATTAGCCAGGCATGGTAGCATGCACCTATAGTTCTGGCTTCTTGGAAGGCTGAGGTGGAAGGATCGCCGGAGCCCAGCAAGTCGACGTTGGGGTGGCCTTGAGTGTGCCATCGTACTCCAGCCAGGGCGACAGAATGTGACTCCAACTCAAAAAAAAAAGAAAGAAAACTAAATGTGATGCATTGTCATCCTTGACTGGATCCAGGATTAGAAAAGTTTTAAAGGACATTTTTGGTGCAGTTGGAGAAAAATGAATACAGATACTACTGTGTCAATGTTACATGTGTTGGGTGTGCTAATGTTATTGTGGTTATATAAGGGAATGACCTTATGAAGAGATTCATGCTAAAGTAAGAGTGAAATGTGGCAAGCTTAATGAATCTAGTTGGCTTGTTTTCAGCTTTTCCAAATTTTTCCATAGGTTTGTTATTTTTCAAAATAAATGGCTGGGAAAAAGTTCAGGCCCAAGAACAAAATACAAACCTTCTTTACTGGTACAAAGCCCTCTTGAAACTATTACTATTCCATGACTTTCCTTAGCCTAATCTTTGCTGAGGGAAGGTACTGTCTGCAGATAGCTGGATTTCTACTTGCCAGGCACTATAACGAGGCACTGTGGACACAAAGATGACTCGTGCCTGCCTTATGAGCTGCTGTTTCACTGAGGGAGATAGATGTAACACAAGTGAATAATACAGGGCACGGGGCAGTGTGTGGTAATAAAGCTCCATTTTTGGTATTGTCCACTGTTTCTTAAAATATGGTTCACAGACCACTTGCATTAGCGTCATCTGGGTTGGAGGAGGTATTGTACCTCAGAATGTAGATTCTGGACTTCAGTCCCAACCTTCTGAATCAGATGCACCAGGGCCAAGCCTGGAATCTGCATGTTAATCAACCAGGTGACACTGATACACACTAAATGATGAATGCCCACATCAGAGAATGAGTACACATCTCTTGTGTATTAGGAAAGTTTTGCAGAAGTAGTCTGGACTTCCTTGGAAAATGAATAGGAAGTTCATCAGGTAGGCAAGGCTAGGCCTGTAGTTCTGCAGTTTCCTTGCTGTTTCTCTCACTGACCTTAATAGCATGTAACATGTTTTCTTTTTTCAAAATTAAAAAAAAAATTTTATTATTTTAAATTTATGAGACAGTTGGATGATGAAATCATATTGAGTCTGACCACCTGGCACATACCTTTTTTTATAATCATGTTTATATATGTTTTTCTAATTATATGCCCTATTATATGTTATATATAATACATATGTACTCTATAAGATATATTTGATAAATATATGTATTATGTAGGTTATGTATTATATATTATCTAGAAAAATATAAAAAGAAAAAAATCTCACCACTTCAAATATATCCCTGTTAACATTTGATATTCTTTGCATTCATTACATATATTTTTTTTTTTTTCTTTTTCTTTTTCTGAGTCAAGAGTCTCACTCTGTTGCCCAGGCTTGAGTGCCTTGGCACACTCACAGCCACCACAGCATCCACCTGCTGTGTTCAGGTGATCCTTTTTCCTCAGCCTTCCAAGTAGCTGGAGCTACAGGCATGCACTGCCATACCTGGCTTATTTTTTGACTTATTGTAGAGACAAGGTCTTGCCAAGTTGCCCAGGCTGGTCTTGAACCCCTGGGCTCAGGGAATCTTCTCACCTCCTCCTGAAGTGCTGGGATTACAGGCATGAGTCACCACATCCAGCCATTATGTATATTTTTATTTATTTTAAAATTTTATTTATTTAATTTGTTGTATAGGAAAAGTACATCACCGTGTGCATGTTGTATGAGAGACGTGTTCATCACTGAGTGTATGTTGTATGTGGTAAGTCCATCACTGGGTGCATGTTGCATGAGGTGTGTCCATCACTGAGTGCATGTTGTTTGAGATGAGACCGTCACTGAAAATGTTTATGAAAATATGTGACACTAGCCCGGGCAACTTGATGAGATCTCATCTCTATAATAAATAAATAAGTAATTAAAAATATGTGTTTATCTCTACTGTGTATTTTCCCTTTTTTTGATTTGGAGTCTTACTCCATTGCCCAGGCTGGAGTGCAGTGGCATACTCACGGCCACCCCAGTGTCAACCTGCTGGGCTCCAGCAATCCTTCTGCCTCAGCCTTCCAAGTAGCCGGAACTACAGGTACGGGCAACCATGCCCGGGTAATTTTTTTTTTTTTTATTGTAGCAACGAGGTCTCGCCAAGTTGCCTGGGCTGGTCTCGAACCCGTGGGCTCAGGCAATCCACTCGCCTCGGTCTCCCAAAGTACTGGGATTACAGGCTGAGCCACTGAGCTCGGCCCAACTACAGTGTATTTTCTATTAGTCCATAACTAAGTGCATGTTGTGTAAGATGTGTCCATCACTGGGAGCACATGCTTTCTGTAGACTATGATCAATGAGTTTTTAAGTGGATTACTATTTTTTTGGTGATAAGATTTCAGATATTAGCTGACATAATTTTTTCTCTCTCCAGGTATGCAGAAACACACCGAGTGTATGCAACTGTGTTAGTGTCTGCATACACATCAGACTTGGGGGATGAAAATGAGCGTGCAAGTGGTAAGGCTTAAGGCAGAAATCCCAGAAAAGCCCTTCTCTAGATGCCGGGCTGTCCTGGTTATAAAACAGGACTTTCTTCAGATAAGCTAAAAATTCTAATAGTACACGAGAGATTTATCACCCATCGTGGGATGTAAGTTGGGTTCTTTGAGAGGTGGTAGACTTCTTTGTAACCCATAGTCTAGAACTGAACCCTAGAGACCTGGTTTTAGTGGCCACATACAGCCTCTTCATAAGTAGCTATGGTATCAAGCTCTACAGATTTGAAAATACAGGAAGTGTTTCCAATTCACACTTAGGCTCTAATCCTTATGTCTGTGCTAGGATCCTCACTAGAGAGCTTAGGTATCTAGAATGGAGATTATCCATCGGCACTGATAGGTTATTTTTTTTCCCCTCATAGGATACTTCAACCGCCCCTGGCAGTGGGAGAAGATCAAGGCCAACTGCCCTCACATTGTGCAGTTTGCCTCCACTGACGACCCATTCCTTCCCTGGAAGGAACAACAAGAAGTGGCCGATAGGCTGCAAGCCAAACTGTACAAATTCACCGACCGTGGTCACTTTCAGAACACAGAATTTCATGAACTGGTTACGGTGGTAAAATCTTTCCTGAAAGTACCAGCATAGACAGGATGATTCTGCTACTTTGCATTCCAGTATAAGGGTAGAGTAATAATGTCTACTGTCAGATGATTACTAAACATATAAACATCCAGTTAAATTCTAAAAGTGCCTGAAAAACAAACACAAGTTTCAGTGTATAATCTGTTACAAATAGCATTTCCATTTTCCACAGAGTCTAAAACTCCCTCAAGACAGCAGTATTTTCCCCAAAGGGGAAAAGGTATGTAAGGACATATCAGCCACCCTTCTGTATCAAAGTGAGTGAGAAACAACCCCAGTTTCCTGATTCCTATTCCAGTTAAAAACGAAGCTTTCATGTATGTTGCAGGCACTGCATTCTTTTCCTCTTTGAAATAAAGAGGTTTTATTTTATTGGGGAAAGAAAACATGACTGAAAGTCCAGAGTATTAGCATCAAGCTCAAAAACTAGCTGCTGTTTCAAACAGGCTCAGGAGAGCAAACCCAGACTAGGGACTTTGCCTGGGACACCTGCCCTTCAGTCCTTTGGACATGTTGGGAGAGACTGACATGTAAGGATGCTGCATTGGGTCCGTCCAGGCCAGGCAGGAAGAAGCACAGCATACATATGTATGGAATATGAACATAACTGGCCAGATGTGCATAAGACCAGCACGGCGGGGATCGGGGAGAGCTAGTGCCCCGTCACAACTGCTGCTGTGTGGAAATGGGGTAAGGTGTTGCCAAGTTTCTGGTTTTCTTGAGGGAAAAACCTTCACGTATTAGTTTTTAAATCTGGGGAATGTATATATATGTAGCTACAATCCATGCATACATGAATCCAGTCTACATATGGATTGTTAGTTGGCAACAACAGTGTAAATAAAAAAATCGACAAATACTGCAAGACAAAATTCCAGCCATCCACCTGTGATCTTGGCCATATGCATTAACTTAGCCAGGAGCTTTTAGATGATTGTCTAGAAAGCCAGAGAAAAGCCTCAGATAACTAAAAATGAACATAATGTTGAAGATGGAATTATGGCAACTGTTTAGATTTTGTGGCGAAGTTCTAGGTGTGTTTTAAAAGAATTTTTCCACACCTCATGCTTTGTAGAGTTTAGCCTTTCTAACATTCACGGCCCCTGGGATGCCTTTTGTGCACCATTCCATGGTTTTTCTTCTGATCGTGCACCCTCAAAAACTTTTTCATTTCTTGGCCATTGTGATCCCTAAATAATTTCCAGTAAATTCACACTTGATGTTAGAGCCTAAATTTGCTGCAGAAATGTGGTTTCCTGCACTGTTTATGCCTAAAGAGGATTCAGAGCCATCATTTAAAACAGAAAGTCTTTTGGTTTTTCAATGTGCTTTGACAAAAAGTCAGGAAAGATGCTGTCAACTCTGAACAGCAATTATCTTCAGGGAGTAGGAATTTCGGTAGGTACAGTGTGGTGGATTTTCCCATTTTACTTGATCCCCAGGGAGATTATTTGAATTTGGTACACTGAACATGTATTACTTTTATAAGTAACATAATTGAGATTTAGAATAACATATTTGACTAGTAAAAAGCAAATTAGATAAATCAGTTGAAGAATAATGTTGTTCAAGAGGCTGTGATTTGACCAAACCTATAATCAAGGTTTGATTCCACCAGAATTATTAGGAAATTAGACATTGTATTACTTTCTACCTTGTTTTATGAAGTCCTTTCCTAAAAAGCTATAAACGTATACAAATAACAGCAGTTCATACAACTTTATTGTCTTCTTCCTCTGTAGAAATAAAAAAATGTACAATTGAGAAAGTCGATTCTGATACTCTTTATTCCTATAAAAGTAATTAAGATAGGCCCATATAATTGTCGTGCTCTGCTGCCAAGTAAAGTAACCAGCCACGGATAGCTATAACATTAAAAATTCAGTTCTTCAGTCAAACTAGCCATATTTCAAGTGCTCAAGTCACTGGTGGCTAGTGATTACCTTATTGGGCAGCAGATACAGAATATTTCTGTCATTATAGAAAGCCCTATTGGACAGCACTGGTCTAGTGATTACCTTGTTGGGCAGCAGACACAGAATATTTCCATCATGATAGAAAGCTCTCTTGGACAGCACTGGTCTAGTGATTACCTCATTGGACAGCAGATACAGAATATTTCTGTCATTCTAGAAAGATCTCTTGGACAGCATTGCTCTAGTGCATGTATTTTATATTCTTTCCCTCACCTACCACCCAAGAATGTATCATAGTTCAAAGTAAAGGTGACTCAATTTGAAATTTGACTAGTTTGCTTAGTTGATTACCGTCAAAGTCATGGGTCTATAAGATGTACTCACCACTAAACTGAGATCTGGGGAGTTTCATGGGAGAATCTACAAATTGTTCACAAAAAACCAGAATCATGGACTCTCATGATTTATGTTTGATTCTGTATGGATCATCACTAAACACAGAAGGGCCTCAACAGACTCAGGGGAGTATCCTCAGGTGAGCAAAATACCTAATACTAAATGGAAATCAACTGTAAGGATGAGGATTTTACTTATAATCTGATATTTTGGTGCTGTCAGGAGTCTAGAGTCCTACAATTTGTTTTGGTCACAGTTTATCCTTGTAGGATAAATAATCCATTTAACTATTCATCAGAGGTGCTGTATTTTTAAATTGTCGTCTTTTGTCTCCTTGTTAATATTCAGAATTAAAAATATCCTATGTGAAAAAAGCTTAAAGGTTCTCTTTATTCTGGGGAGGCAAGGAATTCTTTTCCTTTAGCTAGTGATTGTAAGCTCTAAAATCAACCTCTGGCTATCAAGACATAATGCAGAGTCAGCTGGGTATGGTTGTTCACACCTGTTATCTAAGTACTTGGGAGGCCAAACTGGGAGGACTGCTTGAACCCAGGAGTTTGAGACTGGCCTAGACAACACAGCAAGGCCTCATCTCTACAAAAAATAAAAATTGGTTGGTGTGGTGGCACACACCTGTACTCCCTGCTACTCAGGAGGCTGAAGTGGAAGGATTGCCTGAGCCCAGGAGGTCAAGGCTGTGGTGAGTGGTGATCGTGCCACTGTACTCCAGCCTCAGCAAGAGAGTGAGCCTCTGACTCAATAAAACAAAACAGACATAATGCAAAATCTATATTTAAACCATAAACTGGTTCCTTCTCCCCACTTCTAATCCTCCTCCAAATTTAGTTTTCTTATTAAGTAAGATTAGCACCTCTTTGACAGGTCAGTTCCCACGAAGAACAGACATTTTTCTTACCATTCCAGCTCTCACTGGGAGTGGAAGAGAAACCCTCTGTAGTTTCAGGCTCTCAGATCCTCCTTCATCTTATATATATCCAGTACTTGAAGTAATTTTTGTTACAAAGAACTAATGTCATCAAATGCTAATTCTTTAGAGCTGGCCACAGAATCTGTCTGATAAAAATGGGCTATTGAGCTGAATTTTATTTTACTGATATCATTTATCTCAAAGTAACTCTTCTGATGTTGTCCACTGCATCTCCAAACTGTTGTTAAAACTTAGGTCTCAGTAGTAGCTGGGCTTGAATTCTTTTCCACTGGTCTCATGTTTTTGGCCTGGATACACAGACTTTTAAGTGGAGCTACAAAGAGAAAACTCAACAGCTTAGATCCTAAAACTCTCTGCTGCTACATTCTGTGTAGCAAACATCAGATAACTTAGTTATTTTCTATGTTGCTGACATGTGGAACTGAAAGTGCTATTAGAATTGAGGACAGTTATAATGGCTTTCTGCTTAGACATACCACCGATGATTTTTACAACAGAGTAAGAAAACAAATCTGAAACGGGAAAAGAAAAGAATGGGACCTCCTCCCTCAAAAATAAAGCATGGATTGAGGGCAATGGACTATTCTTAGTTTTAGTTCAATGATTAGACATTGCTTAGTCTGCTCTGTCTACTATAACAGGATAGCATAGACTGGTGACTTATCAACAATAGAAATTTATTTCTCACAATACTAGAGGCTGGGAAGTCCAAGATCAAGGTGACTACAGACATGGTGTTTGCTAAGAGACCACTTCCTGGTTCACAGAAGGCTGTCTTCTCCCTGTATCCTCACATGGCAGAGGAGGCAATGAGCTCTCTGCATCTCTTTTATAAGGGAATTAATCCCATTCATAAGGCTCTGTCTCCTGACCTATCACCTGCTAAAGGCACCACTTCCAAACAGTATCACACTGGAAATCAGATCTCAACATTAGAATATCAGGGACAGACAAACATTCAGTCTACTGCAGACATCAAAAAAGAATATAGGGATAATCCTAGCAAACCATACAGTTGAGCCACAGAGTGAAATTTATAAGACTTTAACGAAGGACAGTGAAAACATTCTCTTCAGGATGAAAATGATAATTCACATTTATGCACTGACAACATAACCTCAACAAGTCATTGTTTGGGTTTGAAATAAGTATGGTAGCATAATCCTCTGAAAGAATGTTTCTGATACAAAAAGAAATATAGCATGTAGAAAAGAGATCTCTCCAGTCATGCCTCAAGTTTGTGTACACCTCCCTTGCTTTCCTGCCTTTACCACTTTTACTATCTTCTCAATGAGACCGCTGAGAAAACAGAAATGGTAGTGAGTGAGATATAAAAAATTCCAATAAAGACCTTAATAAATAACTTTTAAAAGAACACTTTTATACTGTAGCCATTATCATACTACCTGGTAAGTATGGGTTTGTAGGCTTCATTTTCCTTGACTTTGACAGTCTTCAAAGATGTAGTCCTCTGGAGTTTCAAAGTATTTTGTTTAATGAAGAATAGATTTTTACTGCTAACCTATTCTATTTCAAATTCTGTTGGCTACCTTACCAATATAAATTTAATCTTCATAAATAAAAAAAAAGTTTCCATAGCAGCACGTCTGTATCCATATTATGACGTTGGCTTTCAGGATTTGATGTTCCATCATGAATTAAATTATCTGCTCCCAAAGTAAATGCATGTGCAAAACGTCAGTGAAGTTCATAGTTGTCTATTAAAATTCAAGCCACTCTGTCATGTAAATACAGTTAGACGGTGAAATCTCACCACCTTCATGGCAGTCATCAAAAACCTTTAAAAATAGAAAAAAACAGTTTATATTCAAACTACAGTTTTAAAATATCCAAGATCCAACCACTTATTTAAATCAACACTAAAAACAAAACTCTCAAGTTGAAAGGGATTAGGACTATATTTAACAACCTACCAATAATACATTTCGTGGTCATAGTTAGTTAACCAGAGGCCTTTTACTGTGGCATTAAAATAGCCATGCTCACTTGCCCACTGGGCAAAATGCTACCAGCAGGTGATACAGGAATATAGGAAGGGAGACCCCTACACGTGAATGGCTTAACCTTGACTAGCTGAATGTTTTGTGTTAGCTACCTTCTGTTTTGTGAAGGCTGTTAAACAAGAGTTCCCAATGCTCGCCTTGTGTCTTGGGATTGAAATCAAGGCACAGAGAGCTCAAGCACACAGATAAGGGTCATATAGTGAAATAAGGCATAGACCAGCAACCCAAGAATATAAACGCCATGAGGACGAGGACCTAGTCTCTTGCTCTCTGTTGTGCCCACAGTGCCTAGAGCACAAAGCAGGCCTCATGGCCTATCTGGGAATGAATAAATGAAGAGTGCTGAGCATGCTGCAGGGGGAAGACGAGATCTCTGGATTGGATCCTGCTGTTTCTTCTAAGCTATTACTCTTAGGTATTCCTGTGCCCAAGTTCCCTCACTCTTCAGGGGAAATAACATCATTAGCTTCAAGGACGTGAGCAGGATTAAATGAGACCACCTATGAGGATCATTAAAAACACACCTGGCTCATGGCAGATTCTCAATGTGTCTCATTTCTCTCCCCACTTAGGTAAAAAGATTAGCCCACACCAAAAAGTGTCCATTTCAGGGCCAAGAGCAGAATATAAGGAAATGATTTGTTCATTCCAAGAATGTAAGGCAATGATTTGTTCATTAAAAGTCTGTTCATCAAGGTTATACAGAAGTTTGAGCAGCTCTTGGTCAACCCTCGAGTCTGAGAATACCAGAGTGTCCTTGCAGTTTCATGTGGCAACTACACAAGCTGGCAGTCGTGTAAAGCGCAGCCTCGCTAACTCACCGGGCAGAGTCCGCAGGGTGCCCGGACCAAGCCCGTGGGAGGGATGATTGGACTGACTGCCCTGTACAACTTCATGTGTCCATCTACACTGCCGACTGTGCCTTCTTTTGCAGCAATGATCGTCATCTCCACCTTCCCATCATAAATGAGCGTATTCAGGATGGTTTCAATGTCCTCCATGGACAACTCCACCTAAAAAAAGGGATACGTTAGGATAAGACGTCATCCATTTGGAGCATGTTAAAAACAGTAAAGGGTCACAATTCCATGGTGAAGTGGGGGAAACATTATGCTGGAGAGGAGTAATCAAAAGCACAAAGAGGATGGACAACAGTTCAAGTTAGCACAAACCACTGAAATACTAGGGACAGAACTCTAAACTCAGGCTAAGCTTGATACTTTCTGATGTATTCACTTCCTAAGTAAAATCTAGAAGTCTTATAATGTAATGGTGTAGTCAGGTGTGTTGGCTCACGCCTGTAATCCAACACTTTGGAAAGCTGACACAAGAGGACCATTTGAGGTCAGGAGTTCAAGGTCAGTATGGGCAACATAGTGGAATCTCATCTCTACAAAAAAGAAAAAGAAAAAAGAAAAATCAGCCAGGTGTGGTGGTGCATGCTTGTAATCCCAGTAATTCAGGAGGCTGAGGCAGGAGCATCACCTGAGCCCAGGAGATTGATGCTGCAGCAAGCCATGATCATGCCACTGCACTCCAGCCTGGGTGAAGACAGAGTGAGACTCTGTCTCAAATAAAGAAATGAATAAAGTAACGATACAGACTTATAAAATGCTTGAAAAGAAAGGTACTTTATAAATAAGAAATTTATAGTTCCTAGTTTTTATAAATGAGAACTCTCAGGCCCAGGAAATGCAAATGACTTATCTATGTGGCTGCTTCGACTTCCTCACTGATTGTGAAAAGCATCAGTGTCTTCACGTATAGGTCCTCAAAAGAATGTGCTGGTAACACAACTGATATAAGTAATACAATACAATAGCTGGGTGCAGCAGCTCACTCCTGTAATCTCAGCACTTTGGAAGGCTGAGGGGGGCAGAATTGCTTGAGCCCAGGAGTTCAAAACCAGCTTGGACAAAGAGAGAGCTTATCAAAAAATTAGCTGGGTGTGGCGGGAGGATTTTCTGAACCCAGGAGGTCAAGGCTGTGGTGAGCCATGATCATGCCACTGTACTCCAGCCTGGGTGACAGAGTGAGACTCTGACTTGAAAATAAATAAATAAATAAATAAATAAAATAAGAGAGAGAGAGAGAGAGAAAATGCCAATAAATGACAACCGATATCATGACTGATATTTTGCACATACACTGAAATATCCTGATAAAGTCCAGAAATTGTCACAATAGACTTCTGAATTTGGTAGTGAAGTACATCGCCAGGCCTGCACTCTGTGCTATCTCTCTTTTTTGTGTGTGTGTCAGAGTCTCACTCTGTCACCCAGGCTGGAGTGCAGGGACATGCTCACAGCCACTGCAGTGTCGACCTGCTGGGCTCAGGAAAGTCTTCCACCTCGGCCTTCCAAGTTGCTAAAACCACAGGTGCGTGCCACCATGCCCAGCTAATTTTTTAATTTAGTGTAGAGACAAGGTCTCACCAAGTTGCCCAGGCTGGTCTCAAACCCTGGGCTCAGGCAATCCTCTTGCCTCTGCCTCCCAAAGTGCTGAGATTACAAGTGTGAGTCACCATGGCAGTGACTGCCTTTGCTTAAAGTATAGGTATTTTTCCAAAACGTTCAAAGCTATCATCTGAAAAAAGGGGTCAGGGTCAAATACATATTTGGAATACACTGTAAATGCTACCCTTATGATGAATACATTTTTAAAAAGTAAGATGAAAATTACATGAAAAGGTTAAAAACAGAGTTCTGACCTTACTGATCCCCAATTCACAGATATATTTCCAAACTTCATGAGATGAAGCAAATGAACTATTTCTTTGTATCATTGGATTCTGTTTGCTTTCTCGTGCTGTTTCCGCCTGTAAAGGTTGAAGCATAAGAAATCTAAGCAAGAAAAGAAAAAAAACAAACAGCCCCATTACAAAGTGGGCTAAAGATATGAATAGACACTTCTCTAAAGAAGGCATACGAGCAGCCGATAGATACGTGAAAAAATATTCAGCCTCACTAGTCATCAAGGAGATGCAAATTAAAACTACACTGAGATACGACCTAACTCCAGTCAGAATGGCCATCATCAATAACTCAAAAAATAACAGATGCTGGAGAGGATGTGGCGTAAGGGAAAACTTCTACACTGCTGGTGGGAGTGTAAACTAGTACAGCCTCTATGGAAATCAGTGTGGTGATTCCTAAAACTTCTAAAACTTGACCTTCCATATGATCCCGCAATCCCCCTACTGGGAATATACCCAGAAGAACTCAGGTCACTCTATAAAAAAGTTACTTGCACATGTATGTTTATCGCAGCATTGTTCACAATAGCAAGAACATGGAACCAACCGTGCTGCCCATCAAAAGAGGACTGGATTTAAAAAATGTGGTACATATATAAAATGGAATATTATGCAGCCATAAAGAACAAAATCATAAACTTCACAGCAACATGGATGGAATTAGAGCTTATAATACTGAGTGATCTCTCACAGAAACAAAGAGCCGAGTATCACAAGTTCTCACTCGTAAGTGGACCTTGAACAACTACAGCATTACTGTAGGAAAGGGATTGAAAGTAGCAGAAAACTGCAGGGAGGGGGGTGAGGGGTGGGGATTGATAGTAGTCAATATAAGTAGGGGCACAACTCATCAATAAGGGTACCTGCACAATGAACATTTGTATACCTAACCCTGAATTTGTATACCTAATCCCACAATTTCAAAATAAAAATTAAAAAAAAAAGAAATCTAAGCAAGACTATTGGTGTTTTTGAATATAATTTATATTAAGTCAAATCAATAGAAGAAATTATATTGTTTAGCAAAAATTACTAATTTTAGATTTCAGTTCCTACAACACATAATATATAATATATAAGATTAAAATACTTGATGAAGAAACTTCTTAAAAGAAGAATTGCAGTACTGTTTCCTCAGTTATGACTCACCTTAGTTTGCAGGAATTTAAAACACTGTTGGTTAAGCACCTCTACGAATTCAGATTCAAAATCCTGGTCACTGTACCAGGCTCCACCTGTCACAGAGCGATCTGGCTGCAGGTTATAGAGCATATACACCTTCTTTTTAGAGGCCTAAGAAAGAACACACACAGTTTAAGTGTTTATACATTTCCAAAAACTAACTTTTAAAAAAGCCTTGTAATTTAGACAGTAGTAGATGTACAGAATTATCACAGAGTCCAGAGAGTCCCATGCCCAGTTTCCCCTATTACTAACACCTGGTATTAGTGAGGTGTACTTGGTATAATTCATGAACCAATACTGAGAAATCATTATTGGCTAAAGTTTGTACTTTATTCATATTTCATTAGTTTTCCCTTAATGTCCTTCATCTGTTCCAGGATCCCATCCAGGACACCACACTACATTTAGTTGTCATATCTCCTTAGGCTCCTTTTGGTGGTGATGGTTTCTCAAATACTTATTTCTATCAGCATGGATTCATGAATATTTATTTTATACTTTGAGTTACAACCCAATACTTATTACTGCACCTGTTCTAGCTTTGCGCACTGGAAGCTTTTTAGTCGGTTCCTGTATCTCTCTGATATACCCTATCATTGTGTGTGTTACTGTGATTTTGTGTGTGTGTGTGCATGCACGTGTAAGTATTCTGGCACTTTCTTATTTTCTGTCATTACAAGATATTTGGAGCATCTTGTATAGTTCCTGCCTGAACCCTAGAGTCAGCCATTATTCCAAGGAGCCCTGGCTTCTTTTATTGGGAAATGGTATTAGAAATCAAGACTTGGGTGCTAGGTGTGTTCATTGCTACTGGGGTGTCATTCATTGCTTCTAGGCCTTCTCATCTGGCAGAGCAAGATTTATCTGTTTTTTCTAACTCCTATATAAATACATACCTAAAATACACATTTGTATATATAGTAATCTATATTCATATTAAACAACAATCCATACTGATGTCTCCACATCTAATCAATTACTACATGGATCATTCTAGCTTCTTCCCCTGGTTTATCTGTCACTCCCACTCCAACAGTGAGAAACTTAAATCCCATTGTTGTTTTTTTTTATTTTTATTTTAGAGACAGGGTCTTGCTCTGCCACTCAGGCTGGAGTGCAGTGGTGTGATCATAGCTCACTGCAACCTCAAACTTCTGAGCTCAGCTGGGCACAGTGGCTCATACCTGTAATCCCTGCACTTTGGGAGATGGAGACAAGGGGACAGCTTGAGTCCAGAGGTTTGAGATGAGCCTGGGCAATTGACAAGACCTTGTCTCTACAATAAATCAAAAAATCAACTGGGCATGGTAGCATACACTGTGGTTCCAATTACTTAAAAGGCTGAGGCAGAAGGATCACCTGAGCCCAGCAGGTTGAGGCTGCAATGGCTGTAAGCATGCCACTGCACTCCAGCCTAGGTGGCAGAGTGAGACTCTGACTCAAAACAAAACAAAAAAAAAACTCCTGAGTTCAAGCAATCCTCCTACCTCAGCCTCCCGAGTAGCTGGGACTACAGGCATGCACCACCATGCCCAGCTAATTTTTGATTTTTTTGTAGACATGGGGTCTTGCTATGTTGTCCAAGTTGGTCTCAAACTCCTGGGCTCAAGCAATCCTCCCGCCTTGGCATCCCAAAGCGCTGGGATTACAGGCATGAGCCACTGTGTCTGGCCTCCACTGTTGTTTAATAAAGAATTTAGTTAGACTTTGCCCATGTTTCCTGAGAAGAAACCTTAACATCTTGGGAAATTCCCAGTGGGGGAGGGGGTCCTTGTTATTCATGTTGAGCCCCTTGGACCACACTTGGGTTTATGCTAACAAGGTGACCCCTGGTGGGGCCCTAAATAGTTTCAGGATGGGTGCTATACATGTTGGAAAGACCAACCACATGACTAGAGGGTTGGGGCTTTGAACCATGTCATATCAGTCCAACCTATTAGAGGAGAGGAGCTAAAGACTGAGTTTCATTTCATGGTCAAGGATTTAATAAATTGTGCCTGTTTAATAAAACTCCAATGAAAACCTTGCACACTAAAGCCTGGGTGAGCTTCCATGGGTGGTAACCACACACCGATGTATCATCGGAGGGTGATATGTACTGGGGATATGGAAGCTTTGTGTTGGAACCCTCCCAGACCTTGCCCCATGTGTCTCTTCAGTTGGCTGGTTCTTTGTATTCTTTTAAATAAAACCACAATGGTAAGTATGCAGTGCTTTCCTGATTCTGTGATTTGTTCTAGCAAATTACTGAATCTGAGGGGGTTGAGGGAACTCCCAAATTTGTAGCCAGTTGGCCAAAGTGTGGGTGGCTTGGGGATCCCTGAACTTGAGACTGGCATCTAAAGTGAAGGCAGTCTTGGTGCCTTTGGCCTGTGACGCTTGACCTAACTCTAGGAAGTAAATCACAGTTGCACTGTAGCCAGCATTCCCCCCTCCGCCATCTATTTGCAAAAATGTTCCATTCTAGCATGAGTGGTATCAGAATGGTTAGCCAGGATCTTTATGGGCAGCAACTCCATCAGCTCAAGAATAGTGCTATGTATTTCCCTTTGCCTTTAGTCTTACAGACACCACTCACTTCCAAAGCTTCTTAGGTCAACATCTTATGCCTCTACCCTCTTCCATACATCTACATCTGTAATACATTTAGTTTCTACTGTCCCATTATGCATTCCCCAACCTCCTAAATGACTTTTGAAATTTTTGTGCATAGTAAGATTGCCTCTATAATTTTGCCTTTTCCAGAATGTCATATGGTTGGAAACACACAGTATGTAGTGTTTTTTGATAGACTCCTTTCACTTAGCAATAAGCATTTAAGATTCATCCAGGCTGGGTTCAGTGGCTTAGCCTGTAATCCCAGCACTTTGGGAGGCCAAGACAAGTGGACTGCCTGAGCCCACGGGTTTGAGACCAGCCCGGGCAACTTGGCAAGACCTCATCTCTACAACAAAATAAAAAATTAGCCAGGCATGGTAGCACGTGCCTGTAGTTCCGGCTACTTGTAAGGTTGAGGAAGAAGGATTGCCGGATTCCAGCGGGTTGATGCTGGGGTGGCCATAAGTGTGCCACTGCATTCCAGCCTGGCCAATAGAGACTCCAATTTAAAAAAAAAAAGAAAAAGAAAAAGATTCATTCACATCTTTTCATGATAGCTCATTTCTTCTTATCACTGAATTATATTCTAGTTTGTTTATCCATTCACCTATTGAAAGACATCTTAGCCTGTTTCTAGTTTTTAATGATTATGAACAAAATGGATAAAAGCATTCTCATGAAAGTTTTTATGTAGACATAAGTTTTCAAATCAGTTGTGTACTTGAGAGCATGACTGTTGTTGGAACATGTGGTAAGACTTAGTTTTGTAAGAAATTGCTCAACTGTTTTACAAGGTGGCCATACCATTTTGCATTCTCGCCAATATTAAATGAATGTTTCTATGGGTCTGTATCTTGTCAGTATATAGTATTATCAATTTTAGATTTTAGCCTTCTAATAGGTATGTAATGGTATTTCACTACACTAAAAAGGCAGAAAGTAGACTGGAAAGTTACCGGTTGTCAGGGCCTGGGGGAAGGGAGGTTGGGGAGCAAACACTAGGGGTAACATTTTGATGACGATGTAATAAAATTAGGATACTTGTGACATTGCACAACTCTGAGACTATATACTAAAAACCACTGAATTCAGCTGGGTGTGGTGGTGCACGCCTATAATCCCAGCACTTTGGGAGGCTGAGGTGAGAGGATTGCCTAATCCCACGGGTTTGAGATCAGCCTGGGCAACTTGGTGAGAACTCATCTCTACAATAAATCAAAAAAATTAGCCAGGCGTGGTGGCGCGTGCCTGTAGTTCCAGCTACTTGGAAGGCTGAGGCAGAAGGATCACCTGAGCCCAGCAGGTTGAGGCTGTGGTGGCCGTGAGTGTGTACTGTACTCCAGCCTGGGAGACAGAGTAAGACTTCAACTCAAAAAAAGAAACAAACAAACAAAAAAAACCCACTGAACTGTACATTGCAAAAGGATGAATTTTGTGAATTTATGAATTTATACCAATAACATTGTTATTCTCTCTACTTTTGTATATATTTGAAATTATCCATTAAAAATATGGAAATGAAATGCTATTCTAAAGCAGGGAAGTAGTAAGGTATACACATCATTTGATAAGTAAAATCACTAACGAACATCAAATTCTTCTAAGCTGAGATTTCTATTTAAGCAAACTTTATTCTAGGGGAATCTCAGCCCCTCTGATGTCTCAATTAGTGAGGTCAGGGGCAGATGTACCTGATGGAGCCAGCTCTGGAGCATGGAGCCCCAAGAAGTGGTGGGGGTGAGATGGGATGAGGAGAAGGAAAAACACCAGCATGCTAGGAAGGATTCTCTGCCAGGACAGGTATTTTTCTGTGACTTGGTCACTGATGTATCCCAAGTACTCAGGACAGCGTGATACACGGCAAACATTCAATAGGTACTTGTTGAATGTGTAAGCTAATATGTCGGGATAATGTAAATAATCTTACAAACCACAAGATCCAAGAAAAATGTTTACAACTCCAAAAATTCTTCACTGACGAGAGTGAAGTTGTTTTAGATTTTTGAGTGGTAAGACACCAAGAGTTAGTTAACTAGGTGACAAATCTAAAAAACGGATCCAGTATGAATTACATTTTAAAAAGTCTTTTTTGACCAGTTGTTTTACATTGCAACATAGCTTCAAGAATAAAAACTTGAAATACATTTGAAGATACACATGTAAGTGAATATTTGAGGAAAGTACTACTCACTGCTACAGACTTAACAGCTTTGATAAGCTTTTTACTTTCCAAATTCTTCAAAATTTTGTTGATCTCTGTTAATGGCAAGTTACTTTTGTATCGGATATCTCTGCTCCATATTCCTATGAGAAAGTAAAGTAAAATAAGTTGACCTATGATGTTCATTGATTTTCATTTCTATTCCTATAGCTTATATCTCACTTGAAAACTAGCAAAATAAAGCAAATAGTAAAAATTAAATCACTTAGGGGTAAGAACCTTGGCAAAAGTAGCAAAAACATGCAAGACAATAAGTTGCATGCTTATTCTTTAACTGGAAATAAACATACCACTTTTTTTTGAAACCTCAATGTGGCACATTAAAAAAAAATATATTTAGCCAGGCATGGGGGCTCACACCTGTAATCCAAGCACTTTGGGAGGTGGAGGCGAGGCGATTGCCTGAGCCCAGGGGTTCAAGACCAGCCTGGGCAACTTGGCAAGACCTCATCTCTACAATAAACCCCCAAATTAGCTGGGTGTGGTTGCGAACGCCTGTGGCTCTAGCTACTTGGAAGGCTGAAGTGGAGGGATCACCTAAGCCCAGCAGTTCGAAGCTGCGGTGGCTGTGAGCGTACCACTGCACTCCAGCCTGGGTGACAAAGTGAAACTCCAACTCAAAAAAAAATACACACACACACATACACATTTAAAAAGGAGGTCTAGCAAGGCAATGGCCAAGAAATATTTTTTAAAAGAGAAAAAAATAAAAGATATATAAAAAGAACAATTTTGTAATGGAAGAAAAAATCCTGAATGCTATTGAATTCACTTATATAATTTCTTCCATCCTTTCCAGTCCCCTAATCTCTGTTTTCAGATATTTTCACTTTAGATTGTAAACATGAAATACAAACTTAATTTCAGGTCAGGGTCAACTGCTCTCCTTAGTTGGGTGTAAAATATCCTTCAGATGAGCATATGCAGACATGAAATCAAATATGGACACAGCTCTGCACATGAGAGACGAATAAAGGGAGTCTATGGTTCTTACAGCTGCTGAAAGTCTTGTGTAGGGAGTTAGAATTACTGTCTCAAAGGAAATAAATACTACACATGGGAAAAGAGCTACAAAAAAAATCTTGCTTTATTTTCCTCTCAATGTAGAGGCATAATGAGATAAGTTTTTTGTTTTTTTTTTGAGTTGGAGTCTCACTCTGTCGCCCAGACTGGAGTGCATTGGCACACTCCCGGTCACCGCAGCCTCGACCTGCTGGACTCCAGTGATCCTTTCGCCTCAGCCTTCCAAGTAGCTGGAACTACAGGTGCGTACTACCACGCCTGGCTAATTTTTTTTTTTGATTTGTTGTAGAGATGAGGTCTCACCAAGTTGCCCAGGGGGTTCAAACCCGTGGGCTCAGGCAATCCACACCCGCGGGCTCAGGCAATCCACTCACCTCAGCCTCCCAAAGGCGCGGGATTACAGGCTGAGCCACCGAGATTTGTCCTTTTTTTTTTTGGCGTTGGAGTCTCTCTCTATTGCCCAGGCTGGAGTGCAGTGACACGCTCAAGGCCACTGCAGCCTCAACCTGCTGGGCTCAGGTGATCCTTCCACCTCAGCCTTCCAATCAGCTGGAACCACAGGTGTGGGCCACCACGCCCAGCTAGTTTTTTTATTTACTGTAGAGACAAGATCTCGCTAAGTTGCCCAGTCTGATCTTGAACCTGTGGGCTTAGGCAATTCTCTCACCTCAGCCCCCCAAATTGCTGGGATTATAGGCATGAGTCATTGTGCCTGGTCATAATTTTTCAAGGTAATATCAATGACTCAAATACATCCTAAATCATAATAACTGCAATCTAGCTACAGTTCTTCAAGGGGCATAGAAGAGGACTGCAGCTGCTGAAGGACATATGTCAAAACATTGCTACAATGTACTCAGTATCCCTCTGGTCCTTGCAAAAACCAGAGGTGTTATTATCCAAAATTTATAAATAAGATGAAGAAATAGAGGCTCACAGTTTAGGTGACTCACCCAAGGTCATACTAGCTAGAAACTGAGGATTTTTTTCTTTTTTTTGAGTCTGAGTCTCACTCTGTCGCCCAGGCTAAAGTACAGTGGCACACTCACGGCCACTGCAGCCTTGATGCTGGGCTCAGGTGATCCCTCTGCCTCAGCCTTCCAAGTAGCTGGAACTACAGGCATAGGCCACCTAGCCCAGTTAATTTTTTGATTTGTTGTAGAGATGAGGTCTCGTCAAGTTACCTGGGCTGATCTTGAACCTGTGGGCTCAGGTAATCCTCTCACCTCGGCCTCCCAAAGTGCTAAGATTATAGTCGTGAGCCCCTGCAGGTGGACAAAACTGAGGATTTAAAAAGAAACTTAACTTTTAATTTATTCATCTGAATACATAATAAATTAGTGTGGCTCAGAATTCAGAAGTCTTTTCCCACTCCTGGCCACAGCCATCTTGTTCCTGCCTCTCTAGAGCCACCATTGAGTCACTGTTAGGTATCTTTCAAACATATACATGTCACATATGTATGTTCTGTTCCTTTTTTACTCTACACGCTGTGCTTTACCCTGGGAAGCCAGGATCTCAGTCTCTATAATTAATCCCAAAGACTATGCTTTTTTCTGCCCCATCACATGCCTACCTTTATTTCCTGCATCCTCGATGATTTGATATACCAGTTTTTCTTGGTTATCTGATCCCTTCATTTTACTGCAGAGGAATAAAGTAGAATTAAAAAGGCAAAGGGGTACAGGATAATCTCATAAACTACATGACTACTTAAAGGAACAGCAGACAAGGTCACCAGAGTGACTTATTTACCAAAACAAGGGCTTACCTTTAAAAGAATGAGACAGAGCTGTATGTATCAACATGAAAAGATGTCCAAGATACAGTAAGTAAAAAAAACAAGTTGCAAAACAGTATGGATAGCATGATTCCATTTTTGTTTAAAAAAAAAAAAGAGAGAGATTATCTATAAATATGTAATATATAAATATATAATCATCTATGTGTATTTACATATATCTGGAAGAAAGAATATATACCGATTTATTTAGAGTAACCAACTCTGAGAATGAAATGTATAACTGGAGGGAGGGATGGTATGTACGACACATTAATGTTATGCATTTTGTATTAGTTTTTTTTCCAATACATACATTACTTTTGTAATAGTTACAATTTTCTTAAAATTAAAAAACAGGTGCTTACCCAGCATTCTGAGAGTCCTTTATTCTATACAAAAGGCCAGTGTTGCTCCTTAAGAGATCTAATTGACCCTAAAGTTTTCAAAATAGAAAACAGGAGTCAATTATTACTTCTCAAAAGTAATAATTGAACAGTCAACAGATACACGAAAAAATGCTCAGTCTAAACTACTCATCAAAGAAATACAAATTGAAACCACACTGAGAGCATCTAATGCCAGTCAGGATAGCCATAATCAACTCAAAAAACAACAGATGCTGGAGAGGATGCGAGATAAAGGGAACACTTCTACACGGCTGGTGAAAGTGTAAACTAATACAACTTCTGTGGAAAACAGCGTGGCAATCCCTAAAATATATAAAAATCAACCTTCCATTTGACCCAGCAATTCTCCTTCTGGGAATATACCTAGAGGAACTTAAATCATTCTATAAAAAAGATGCTTACATATGCATGTTTATTGTAGCACTATTCACAATAGCAAAAACATGAAACAAACTGTGCTGTCCACTGAAAGTGGACTGGATTGGAAGGCCGAGGAGAGTGGATTGCCTGAGCCTACAGTTCGAGACCAGCCTGGGCAACTTAGCGAGACCTCATCTCTACAATAAATAAAAAACTTTAGCTGGGTGTGGTACGACACGCCTGTGGTTCTGGCTATTTGAAAGGCTGAGGCAGAAGGATCGCCAGAGCCCAGCAGGTTGACACTGGGGTGGTCATGAGCTTGCCACTGCACTCCTGCACTCCAGCCTGGGCAACAGAGTGAGACTCCAATTTAAAATTAAAAAAAAAAAAAAAAAAAAGAAAGTGGACTGCATTTAAAAATGTGGTACACATAAACAATGCAATACTATGCAGCCATAAAAAAGGAAAAAAATTATGGACTTCACAGCAACTTGGATGGAGTTAGAGTCTCTAATACTCAGTGATCTATTATAGAAACAAAAAGCTGAGTACCACATGTTCTCACTCATAAGTGGACCCTGAACATTTATCATAACCCTATGAGAAAGGGATTGGCAGTAGCAGAATACTGCCAGAAGAGGGAAGGGAGGGACACATAACATCAATAAGGGCACCTGATCTCAAACCAGGTGAAGTAGAGACCAAAGGGCCCAAACTTTACCTATATGATGACCGCTTATCTACCTAATCCTAAATTGTACCCCACATCTTTAAAAAAAAAAAACAAAACTCACTTTCCTTATAGTTTAAGATTAAAAAAAAAAAAAAGGAGTCAATTATTTTGGAGATATATTAAAATCCAATGACAAATAATACATCCTTTAATATTTTTGCCATAAAGGTTAGTCTACTTTCCACAGTTGCTAGTCTCTCACTTGAGACTTAAGTTTTTGCTTATATATCATGTATATATAATGTATTTTTCAAAACCTAGCTTTTCATCTCAAAATTTTAAAAATTAATACTAATAATTTCCCATATACTAGACTCTGGATTAGTCATATGATCGATGCCTAAATAACATTTTTTTCTTTTTGAGTCAGAGTCTCACTCTGTGGCCCAGACTGGAGCCCAGTGACATGTTCATGGCCACTGTCACCTCAACCTGCTGGGCTCAGGCACATCTTCCACCTCAGTCTCCCAAGTAGCTGGAACCACAGGCACAAACCACCACAACCAGCTTTTTTTTTTTTTTTTTTTGAGTCAGAATCACTCTATCCCCCAGGCTGGAGTGCAGTGGCACACTCACAGTCACTGCAGCCTTGAATTCAGGTGATCCTTCCGTTTCAGCTTTCCAAGTAACTGGAACTACAGGCGTGAACCACCACACCAGTCTAATTTTTTGATTTATTGTAGAGATCGAAGTCACAACATCTACGATGTTGCCCAGGCTGGTCTTGAACCCAAGAGCTCAGGGAATATTCTTGCCTCCTCCTCCCAAAGTGCTGGGATTGCAGGCATGAGAAACTGTACCTGGCTCCAAATAACTTTTAAAAAGCAGTTTTAGAATAATAAATAAAAATACATATTCAGACTGGGTTTGGTGGTTCTGCCTGAAATCCCAGCATTTTGGGAGGCCAAGGTGAGTGGATTGCACAAGTCCATGGGTTCGAGACCAGCCCTGGCAACTTGGCAAGATCTTGTGTCTACAATAAATAAAAAATTTACTGGGTGTGATGGTGTATGCCTGTAGTTCTGGCTACTTGGAAGGCTGAGGGGGAAGGATTGCCAGAGCCCTGGGGAACGATGCTGGAGTGGCCATAAGCATGCCACTGCATTCCATCCTGGGCGACGGAGTGAGACTCCAACTCAAAATACTCAAACTCAAATAAATCCAAATTATACATAATATAAATACAATAAAAATAAAAATAGAATATGTATAAATAATAAGTTCACATAAAGGCTGAGCATGCATAAATATTCTAAGGCATAACAACTAAATAAACTTTATAAAGTTAATAGTGATATTTATGGTTATGCATAATTTTTATTGTTACATAAAATCACAAATGTCAACCAGTGAATAAAAGATAGTATTGTTTTTATATAACAAATCAAAAGTAAAATAAAGCACGTTTGATCATGCTTGTGAATTTCCTTGGGTCTGAACTTAGGAGAACCCAGATAGCTGTGAACTTCTAGCAGTTCTGGAAAGCCAAGGTTAAGAGTTCCATTCCCATGTGTTAAGACTAGACAGACTCTTGACTTGGAAATGAGTTTACATACAAGATGAACAGGGACATTCTCCCTCCATTGCCTTGACTGCAATAAGTGGCAAAGTGGAGCCATGAAGCTCAATCTGGAGGTTCCATTAAGTTGTTTCTTCTGTCTATGAACACTCACTGAACACCAGGTGTTATGACAGGTGTTTGGAGGATCAAACATGAATTCTAAAAGGGAAACACAGAGCTGACTGCTATACCATCCTGGTTAGCATTAAGATAGAGGTAAGTAGAGGGCAGAAGGGTACTCAGAGAAGAGGCTGTGGTGCAACCTGGGGGTTCAGGATGGCTTCCTGGAGACAATGGCAAAGCTGAGTCCTAAATGCTAAGTCTGTGAAGAAAGAGAAGAGCCTCTAGGCGGAGGAGAGCATGAACAAAGGTCCTACAGTATGAAATAGAGTGATGTGGCAGGAAATAAAAAATGACCTGTTCCCTCTGAAACCTCATTTTTGAGGCAGAGAATGGAGATGAGGCTGGAGAGAAAGGCAGGGGGCTTAGTGTAGCAAACCCAGGAGTTTGGACTTGAATCTCTAGTCCTGACAGATTTAAGTGGTAGAGTGACTTGGTCAGACACGTAATAAACACAGATAAGGCTGGCTTTTCTGAGGCAGATACAGTCAGTGAAGCCAGTTAGGATGCTACTGCAGTAGCCCAGGCAAAAGTCAAGAGTCTGAATATATGCAGATGTAGTAGGAGTAAAAATGAGGGAACAAATTTGAGAACTGTGTAAGAGCTAAAATCAGAAACACTTTGTGATTTATTAATAAACACTCCCTTACTTAATATCCTTTGATGGTATTACCACTGCCTACAGCCTATAGCCAATAGGCCTGGCAGTGGGCAGTGGTTACAGAGAGAAAGGCACTGAGGATGATTTTCAGTCAGAAAGGAAAGGGCTTAGAGGGTGGTCAGAGGACAAAAAAGGAATATTTTCCCACTGCTACAACCTCCCAGAATGCCTTCCTCTAGCCAAAGACCATTATCACAGTGAAATGACCAGAAATCACCAACACTCCTTTTTCCTTTTTTTCAGAAATCTAGTCCATAGCTTGTTTTTGTAAATAAAGTTTCATTGGAACATAGCCATGCCTACTGGTTTATGTATCATCATTCATGGCTGCTTCTTGCTAAAATGACATAATTAAGTAATTGTGACAGAAACCATATGGCCCACAAAGTCTAAAACACACTATAAACATATACTATACAGAACATTTTTGCCAATTCGTAGGTTAGAGGGTGAAGGGAATGGTTAAACAAAAGGTTCACTTGTTCCCAAATCTCCATATCCAGAGCTCCTAGAAACCCAGCAAGGCAGATAGATTTAAAAACAAAACAGTTGGTTGGACGCAGTGGCTCCCGGCTGTAATCCCAGCACTTTGGGAGGCCGAGGTGAGAGGACTGTCTGAGCTCACGATTTCAAGACCAGGCTGCACAACTTGGTGAGATCTTGTCTCTATAATAAATAAAAAAATTAGCCTGGCATGGTGGCATGCACCTGTGGATTCAGCTACTTGGAAGGCTGAGGTGGAAGGATCACCTGAGCCTAGCAGGTCAAGGTTGCGATGGCTGTGAGTATGCCACTGCACTCCAGCCTTGGCAACGGAGACTTCAACTCAAAACAACAACAATAAAAACAGTCATTTAGATGAGGTATTGATGTAGAATTCTTTAACCTAATTGCTAATAAAACCAAATGGAAATACTTTTAGGAAAAGAAGTTTTTTTTATTTTTTGTGTTTTTTGTTTGTTTGGTTGGTTGGTTGGTTTTTTTGAGTTGGAGTCTCACTCTGTTGCCCAGACTGGAGTGCAGTGGCTGCTCCCG